AAAACAAAGCAAAATAAACCAGCTGGGCTAAGGAAGAATCTTGGAGGGGAAGGCATGACCAAGAGGCACCAGGGAACGCCCTGGATTTGTTTACAGGGCATGGATGAGCCAGGATGGTGACTACAGTAATCGTTCTTTGACAACTGGTTGTGTAATGACAGACTGATTTCCTGAAGGTGCTGGGATAAAGGAGAGCAAAATCAGTCTGCAAAGAAGAGGGCTGCGTGGAGGTGCAGGATCAGTCCTCACCATGTTCCTGGCCTGCTAGATGGTTCCAAACTGTCCCTCCTCAGCAGCCTCCATTTCTGGCCTTTGTCACATACGCAGGCTCTGGGTGCAATCAGAATTGGGGCTGGGCTGAGCTGGCTGACATTGACTCAAAGTTTCATTGACTCAAAGTTTCAGGAGATAGAGGGGACTGCAGTTACCGGCATGATCTGTTCAGCAGATGTTGCTTGGAAACAATAATCAAAAGGAGGAAGATTTATATTCAGTAAACAGATTAGAGTGGGAAGATTAAGGTTAGCAACAAGGTGTATGAATGACAACTGCAGAGAGGCTACTATCAATAATGATGATAACCACGCTTAATTCTCACTTGCCTGCTTTCATATGTAGCACCTTCATGGAGAAGGAAAGGGTTACCTTGGTTATGAAGCTGGACGACTTGAAGGGAATTTCTTGTGGTGTCATATCCTGCCACTGGCTGGGAGAAACTCAGTGTCCTGTCCACTAGGCCACGCATGGTGCTTCCTGTAGCACAAAGTAGTCATGCTGGTTCATTCACCTGAGCAATATCTGGCAGGACGGACCAGCCTGCACTAAAGAACCACATCAATCATCTTGTGAAAAGCATCAGCTTTTATAAAGCTGCAAGCTCAGGTGGGAGAGGTGGCAAGCACACAGACCTTGTTCCCGCTCGGTCCCCATATGTTGCCTGGTCTAGTTAAGAGGCGTCCCTGCCCATGACAGGGAGGTTGGATTAAATGATTTCTAAGGTCCCTTCCAGCCTAGGCCATTCTATGATTCTATGATTCTATGATACTGGCTTGCACTAGCACCATGTCAGACTATAAAGCAAGGGTGATGGAAATGCAGCCCTGGTCCTGGAAGAGGAGCTTGTAAATGAGACAGATATGTGAAGAAGTGCTCTGCTTCATGTGCATGAGTGGAAATAAGCCTATAGAGAGATCAGCTGTGGTGCTGCATATTCCACCTGTCCTCCTCTGGGTAGTGCAATGCCTGCCTGGAAACGCGTGGTCAGGGTGTGTTCTCCCACAAAAGCATCTGCAGTGCGGCAAAACTCACAGGGATTCTTTCTACGGTGAGGATCCAGACTGCTCCAAGACAAGCCTGAGTCATACAAACTGTTGCTGTGCTGAGGTGCAAACAAGGTCACTGCTCAAACTGTCCTCAAGGCAAAAAGGTAACTCCTCATGGTAACAACTGCTGGCACGCACTAACCGTGTCCAGTGCCCCACTGAGATGAGAGCTGACACTCACACCTTTCCCATTGTACTTTCAAGGAGCAAAGAGACGTAGTGGTCAGCAGACTCCCTTTACCATTTTAGCTTTTTTTATTTTCAGGGCAAAGAGGATGTTTTCTCACTATGCCTTCTTTTAAATGAGGCAGTGCTCTGTATTTCTAGAGCATGCACAAGATCCATCTGCAAAGAGAGCCCAGCTGCTTCCACTCAGGATTACTACCAGTATTTGAAGGACTGTAAATGTGAGATATAAATTTGCATCTTTTCTACCAGTTGCACATCAAGTTTCGTGGCTTTGTGAAGAGCACTGTCTGTAACCTCACACCACCTTTTTGGCTGGTGGCTTAGAGGAAGGCTTTAGAATACTGACCATCTCTTGCACTTCAAACTTTCCACTTAAGCCTTTGTATCAAATTACCAAAAGACTTAGCAGCATTACCTATCAAAAGCCCACACCCTAAATATTTTGACTATCTCACGTGTGATCCTTCTTTGGAGGAGTGGTGTTTGAGTTCACAAATTCTTCTTTCTGCTATAGTACATTTCTTCTTTCTGCTATAGTACATTTTTCACCTTGAGTGTCCATAGCTTCAAAATTCCAGTGTCGGCGCAGAATACAACAAGCAGTATCTCCATCTTGTGTAAGCAGCGAGTGAGGCAGGTTTTAATGCATCTGCTCATGCCAGACCTTATAGGTTTCAAAATGTGCTCTAGCAGCAGAAAGGATTTGAAAAAATTAGGTACTAATTGGAACTGTTATCCAAAGATCAAACCTGGACTAATTAATTTTAATATTACTGGCAATTATTTTGTCTTTCCCATTGAGCAGAGTTCCATTTCCCTAACTCTCAGGCCTTGCCAGCAGGTCCGAAAGGGTAGGTCGATATTTTTGTTGCGAGGCGTTTAGAAAAGAGTGCAATGTTGCCTCTATATGGGTACTAAACAGGGTGCAACTTTATTTACAGTGTAAAGTGCATCACACAGAAGTCTTTTAAAACACAAAACAAGCAGTGACATAAATGACAAGACAGTAATGGGTAGGGAAGGGAAAGTGTTCCAGCAAGTACCAAAACATCATCAACAGCACTAATATAACAGCCTCTAGTTTCAGCTACTCTGTCCTATCACCACATACAAAACGTTTAGTGGGTTGATCCTAGGACTCCATGTGCTAGTCACCAGCGTGGAGTCCTAAAAGCCATCCTGCAGCCCTAGAGTCTCCAACAATGTCCTGCCAGCTCGAAGTGATCCTCCTGACTGCTGTTCTGCTCTGGAGTTCACCAGGGCAGAGTCGGGGCACACACCAGAGAAGCACACTGGAAAAGGGACCAAAACACGTGAGTGGC